TGTGCGAGTTTAAAATTAAACGTGTCTGCAACCTACAACATTTTAGATCGACAAGTTTGGTGATGCGTTTCCCGTCAGCCCAAATTCAGTTCCGACGTCGGATTCAAACCAACCCGAGATGATATTTTTTGGGCTGCTGCCAACTCGAGTTGTCTAAACAAATCTAGAAATGTGGTGAGTGGAGGTTAGGTGGATGGATGGGGGGGAAAGAACATTGTGTAAGCGATGTTTAACGTGTGAATTTGAGTTAATATTTGTAATGGTTCATTTCACTGGGTTGCGAGTCTGCATGTTGAATTTTGAGTGGCCTTTGTTTTGCTGTTCATTGTTTGACACGGGTTTTCCTTTCATCTGTGTGCATATAAAGCATCTATTTTTCAGATTAATGAATGCAAACAGTTGCCCAACACGATTATTTAATTCATTTCGTTGAAGGCGCGTTCAACAAACGGCGATACGTATTTCATACAACGCAATGTCTGAAATGCACAACAGAAGTACAATTACATACTGTACAGCGAAACGATAAAGGGCTGGGACAAAGAGTATCAATTCATCGATTCGGGCTCCTTTAAAAATTGTGGCTGTCCCTATAAGCCAGCGAGATTCGGATGATGATGCCGGTGAGAACATCGTCAAGTCCTCACGACCAACATCACACGTGGGAATAGAGGTGAGACTTTGAAAACAAAGATTTTCGTATTATCCGATTAGTCGAGTAACCGTACCAATAATCGGTAGCGTTATCAATTATAGAAATTATTCTAATAGGTCATTTCTACAGCAACTTAAAACAAACAAATCTAGATTGAAAACGTATTTTTTTAGAACTACTGTGCGAAAGAAGTTCAACATACATACATAAAACTTCTATGCACATTGCCTGGCCTGCTACTTCGTGACCTGACTCAAAAGCAAATATGAATCATCTGTGCACATATTGGGCTTAATAACTCCTTTGTATTATTCAGGGATGCAACTGCCATTGAGGTACATCGTGGTCCCTCGATCCTATCCCTGACAATATGTGAGCCATGGTGAACTCACTGACCCCCTCCTGATGTTACAGAACAAAAAACAAGACGTGATACCTTGAAGTCACAACCCAAAGAGAGGCATTAAAAATGAACCGTTTATGCATCTAACATCGCTGACACACGACACCGTATTACGTTTCACCCGCACGTATTTCATGATGCAACGTATACCCATTTTATTTTTTCACTGGAGGCTACATGATATCCCTAACAAAGAACTGTCCTCAGTTTGACCTATTAGGAGGGGACAACACACTGTCATGTTTACTTCGTGCTCAGAGGTCAAGTGGGAAATTTGCATGATCAAACAGACGTTATTGGGGTGAAATCGGAGCCACGCTGTAATCGAGGTATTAAAGTCCAGCTGATAGGTTGTAAGCATCAATTAGGGCCATGTGACCTCACGTTGTGGGTGGAATTCTCAAAAAAAAATACTCCTGCGCACATTAGATCTAGTGCCCATGATCATGGTGTTAGCTGTGGCCTGCAATCATCGCACTCAGGTCGGCTGGGCTCTTAGCGCAGTGGGCTATCCACCGCGCCTCATCTCCATCCCCCGAGTACAATAGTAATGTCATTAATTTGCTCACGAAAGCCTGACCCGAGTGTCCGAAATTATTTTTCAAGAGGATCATGGTTCGGAAGTTTGACCGATTCCTCATTGGATGATTTGTATCTGGAGTGAAATCAGAGTATCCGCAGAATGGCAACTCGTGTGAGGGATTAACTTTAAAATATATTGAAGAGACGGATCAACAACCTAACTTGTTGTTCACTGGCCACCACAGCCGTGCCTCCAAAGCACATGAGTACAGGTGTGTGTGGGACTACACGTGCAATCGAATTGGTAGTCACTTCGTCACTCATAATTAAAAGTAGAGGCACACAATACATTCTTTGGTGAGCAACGTTCCACGATTAACGGTAAATGCAGTGTCTTCTTGCATCTGATCATGTACGTGACTGCATTTCTCAGTGCGCTCGCAGAATGGGCCTGAGTACACGCACGCATTACACAGAGTACAACTCCTCTAACCGCAATGACGTGCACATAATAGGGACCTTCTCTCTGATCGTCTAATACAGAGGTCGGCAACCTGTATCTCAGGAGCCGCATGCGGCTCTTTAAGGACTGGAGTGCGGCTCTTGATATTCGAAAGAAAATGCTCTCCTTGTTATTTTGGTTGCCGAACCCTGGCCGTCATACCTGTCAACTCATACGATTTACCCGTATTCTTGTACAGGGAAATTGAGTAAAACACTTGTTTTGTGTGTTTCTCCCTTGTGATGCGACTTTTTAGGATGAACGTTGAGATGTATAAGGGCACGGGGTGATCACTAAGGTCTGAATTTGTCTGTAATATGGTAGGAACTGCGAAGGGGTTGACAGGTATGGAGCATGGAAGTCCAGTTTTACCATAGACAGAGGTCGGCAACTAGCAGCTCCGAAGCCGCATGTGGCTTGTATTCACATGCATTGTGGCTCTTGAAATATTTGTTTTACTGAATTCGAAAAAAAAAATCTCTTCTTGTTGTTTTGGTTGCTGACCCCTGGTCTAATACGTACACGAGCAGCCCCTTCTGCAATCCACTCCTGGATGATGGCCTCGTTACTCCGTGGTTATTTTTTTAACCATATTTCACCGCACTGGTTGGTGAAGGTAGGGAGGAAAGAAGTACAGCAAAATGAATGGACTTTGATGCACTGCCCTCTGCTACCCACCACGCAGCATATATCTACGACAACACCAATAACCACTGCTAATCTCAGGTGTTACATAAACTGTTGCTGTGCTCACGCCTCTACGTGCCAAAGTGTGAATTGACAAGATTTCGCCTGGGCGCCGGTGTGTTTGTGCACTTGGGTCAACACGCACACACAATGACAGCTAGCCTGTCTCAATCAATGAACCTTACTTAGAATAGAACCAAGTGACGGATGGATCAACAGAAGAAAAAGTATATTGCAAGCGCCGTCTTCACCAGCCCCCAATGACAAGCCAGACTAGTAAGGCACGGTCAATGCTCACTCCCGGTGTCGTGTGAAGATGCATTAATCCAGCAGTGTGTTGACAAATGGTCTTAAAATTATATTTATTCAGTACTTTATTTTGCAAGGGAGAATACAGAGTAAATTTGTTTGAATTTTTTTTCCGTACACCGCTCCCCACCCCCCCCCCCCGACTTACACACACACACGTGTATACCAACACACACTCAACTCTCGTGTACATTATTATTCAAAAGCCACGAACACTTCCTGAAGAGCTGCACTGTGATCGTCTTGTCACTATCAAATAAATTAGATTGACTTGAGACCGGTTTCGTTATTATTAGGACTAATCGGTGTTGTTTTTTGTTGGTTTTCAAACACAGAACTCGATGGAAAGAGATGACATTTGTATAACTCGATCTTGCGAATCTGTTGCCAAGCGGCATACAAAAGTGCCTTTAAGCTGACCCTGCCCATACTGGGACATCTGAGATACAAAAAGAGCTTCATGGTTGTTCGGATTCCTCCTGGAGTCGAAATCAAGATTCCGCCTCCTGGGAGGGTGTAACATCTCACCGCCATCGATTCAAATACACAAGAACAACTGTGGGCTGGTTTCCAACTTCAGTGTCTCATCAGCAGAGTGAGGCTAACTTGAATCAATACCGGTGAACTGTCAGATGTAATAAGGACATATTTCTTAGAGCGCTATATTTGTTCCTGCCTCAGCAGTCCGCCTGCTGTATTTTTCACCTGAAGACCATTGCTTGTGTTGCGATCGAAACGTCGTGATTTTATTTTCTTTCATTATTTTTCTATCTGCGTGACTTTATCGAAAGACCCAAAGAGTATGAATTCCAGCAGTCACAAAAGCTTTAACCCGCCAATTCATATTCTTGGTTCTTTCGGTAAAGTCACGTAGAAGGGAAATAACATATTTTATATTTCTATTACTTTATTATTTCCCTTCTACGTGACTTTATCGAAAGAACCAATAATATGAATTCCTGCGGTCACGAAAGCTTTAAATCAAGAGTCAATTTAGTTATTGTTTTGTCAAGTAAACAGAACGTGCCAATTCGTTACTAGTACAGCACACCGGTGCGAATAAATCCACAACATTGTGAAATCTAAGCCCGACGTTTCGCCAGTAAACACAACAACCAGCATCATCAGGCGAGAGCCAGATGTCGACGCAGGGGTGTAGATGTGATGACGTCACTTGTGAGCCCATTGGCCGTCGCACCTGAAAGAGTCTCCCTTTGATGCTGCTAATCCTGCACAACGCACGGGCATAATGACTTTAAACCCCTCGCCAAACCTCCTACGCATTTCACAAGTAGTACTAATCGCATATCTGCATTTCCCATAAATATGCTAAATTCCTCTTGATATGCAAATAATTTTGTCAAGGTGCTCTTCGCTCCGCCATCCCAGCATAAATAGTCGCTCCAAGCCTGGAGCGTGCCATTCAGACTCTATCTACTTGACGGACCTGTTCTACACCTGAAGATGGCTGCTTGCATTGTGGCCGAAACGTCGTGAGAATTATTTTGTTGTTTTATTTTTATTATTTTAATACTTCCCTTCTACGTGACTTTACCGAAAGAACCAAGAAGATGACGAAATCTTGTTGATTTATATTAACGCGATCTAACCCCAACAAAATAAACAAAGCTCTATTGAGGATAATAATGGATCGTGAAAGTCCGAACGACTTACGCGTTAAAGTGAACGTTGTTTGACAGCCGAAGCCGCTTGCCTATTTACAAATCGCGTTTTCTCATTTCGGGGGGAGGGGGGCGGGGTTATTTGTTTTAAACCGACGATTTTTGCGCAATCGGCTTTCCGTACGAGAGAAACGTTGTGGATTCGTCGAGACGCCCTGGGGGCAAACTTCCCCGTTGCGGCGATCCGAGTCGACCGTCGTAGCCGCCCCGGAGGCGCATTGCGTGGCCAAAAGTTCGCCCATCGACGTCCGGCGCTGTTTGAATTTCGCGTTGAGCAGCGCGCGTTGTGGAGCCGCCTTAGGGCTGGGGTTGGTTTTATTGTTTGACTTGGGGTAGGCGAATCATTGTTAGGGGTTTATTTATCGGTTATAGGTCGGGCAATGTCCACCCTGTTCCCGTCGCTGGAGCCGCGCCTGGTGGAGGCGCTGGGATTCTCCACGGACGCGCTCTGCGAGGACGAGAGCGACCTCCTCAAGCGAGAGGCGCAGCACCACGCATGGGTACCCGGGGCGGGGTGGTGGGGGGGGGGGGGTGGGGGGGGCACGGGGCATTCATGGGGCATGGGCAGATAAATCGTGGGGCATTGGTCCCGGGGCCATGGGCAAGACATTCAGGAGGCATTGACAGGGCATTCAGGAGGCATGGGTACCGGGGGTATAGGCAGGGCATTCAGGAGGCATGGGTACCGGGGGTATATGCAGAGCATTCAGGAGGCATGGGTACCGGGGGTATAGGCAGAGCATTCAGGAGGCATGGGTACCGGGGGTATAGGCAGAGCATTCAGGAGGCATGGGTACCGGGGGTATAGGCAGTGCATTCAGGAGGCATGGGTACCGGGGGTATAGGCAGATAAATCAGGGGGCATTGTTCCCGGGGCCATGGGCAAGACATTTAGGATGCATGGATACCAGGAGCATGGGTAGGGAAATCAGGGGCCACGAGCACCAGGAGCATGGGCAGAGGGCAATGGGTGACTGGGGCATGGCATTCAGGGGGCATGGGTAACTGGAGGGGGAATCGGTGGGTGGGGCAATCAGTGGCATTGGGTGTCTGGGGTGGCTTACTCAGAAAAATCATGGGAGATAGGGTATCTAGAGGGCATGGGTAACGGGGTTAGGCATAGAGATAACCAGCAGGGGGGGGGGGGGGGGGCATGGCCCTGTGTGGCAAGGAGTAGGTCCGGGTACCCCAGGACATGTCTCTAGTCATAGTCGTACAGACAGACAACCGTTTTGTCAAACACTGGATGATGACCTCTCCACGACGTGCCATTCTCGCGGGTTGATTTGGCCACATTTCATCACGCTGGTCCGTGCAGGTTGGTAAAGGCGGAGAGCATACATGTATGAAAAAATAATAGGTTTTACCCTTTATGCCAATAAAACAGGTGTTAAGATATTGAAACACCAAATATAAACATTTTGCAAGGAATTAAGTCTGCATTAATCACACGTACTCGTGGTGAACATGCAAACAAACATGATCTGATATAAAATGCATTGTTTTTTAAACTGATTGGCCTACACCAGAGAGTCTTCTCTAGGGCCTAGTCTCACCAGTTTCAGACCAGAGAACGCCAAAAGGCGAACAGTACAAAGACAATGTCACTGTCAGAGCATTTATAGCTTGGGGTGAGCAGCTACGAAATGGGACCCTTTTGCCTGTATCAAAGTATGAAAAAATAAGAATAGGTTTGACCATTTATGGAAATAAAACAGGTTTTCTGTTCGGTGTTTGAACATCTTAACACCTGTTTATTGCCAGAAAGGGTAAAACCTATTCTTATTTTTTTATACTTTGATACTGGCAAAAAGGTCCCATTTTGTCGCCTACATGTACTTTACAACAATAAATTTCACTCGCTGCCATCTGATGCCCACAGCATATGCATATGCAGACCTGGACAGTGGATACCATAAATGAAGAATGGAAGGTTACTTTGAGTGTTAGTGTCAACATTTATATCTCTCAATCTCCTATTTATTACAGAATTTTTCCACAATATTCTGAAAGGCTGGTTTTTGTGTTCGCAGCTCCGTGGCATCGCGGAATGTAACAGCAATTTGGTGCCGATTGGTAAAACAGCCTCGGAGGTACTCTACGCTGCATGTTTGCACACATCGTACTGAATTGTGTTCAAGATTTGATCAAACAAAAACATTTATATAAGTGTCCCATGTATGGGTAGTTTTATGTTTGACCAATTTCATGAATGAGTTTTTGGCTTCTGGGAAGAAACAGGGGTAATGTAAATAAAAATCCCATGCATGTGAGAGGGTAACATGCAAATCTTCACAAATAGTTTAAATAATCTTATCACTTTACATTTATTGTCCAACTCACACTCTAACACTTTATATTCCCATGCAGCCTCCTCTCTTCTTAATAACCAGGCGTAACTCTGCTTAGTTCCCGGGATCTGATGAGATTGGATGCATTCAAGGTGATTTGGCCATAAGTAGTAACGCCGAGGTGGATTTTCCCCTCGTTATACTACAGACAGCACGGGGATGGGTTTAATCTGAACAACTTTGATACCTGGCCATGTGTGCAAAAGCATTACGAGGAAGAGGAAGAAGAGGAGGAGGAGGATGAAGACAGTGAGGAAGACTCTGACGAGGAGGCGGAGATAGACGACATGGACGAAGTCAACGGCTACACAGACTCCCCAGATGATGCAGAGATCAACGAGGTGCGGAGAATGGGATGTGTTTTTGAATGTTGGATTTTCTTCATCATCACAGCATAAATATAAACAAAACCTGGCTGTACAAAGTTAATTAATTTACTGTTGCACATCAATTCAGTGTTTTTAAAAGAGCCCATTGATAATTATTTGCAAGGGAAATGTAGTTTGTCTTCTTGGTTCTTTCGGTAAAGTCACGTAGAAGGGAAATAATAAAATAATAAAAATTAAACATAATAAAATAATTCTCACGTTTCGGCCACAGCGCAAGCAGCCGTCCTCAGGTGAAGAACAGGTCTGTCAGAAAGATAGCGTCTGAATGGGCACCACCAGGCTTGGCAGCGTATATTTAAGCTGGGTTGGAGGGGGGAAGGGGTGCCTTGACAAAGGAATTTGCATATCAAGAGGAATTTAGCATATGTATGGGAAATGCAGATATGGGATTAGTCACTACTTGTGGAATTCGTAGGAGGTGGGGGGGGGGGTTTCAAAGTCATATTATGCCCGTGCATTACGCAGTATGCAGGATTAGCAGCATCAAAGGGAGGGAGTAGGGTTAGCAGTAATAGAGGGAAGGAATTTTAATAGTAAGGAGCTGCAGCAGCTAAACCACCATGTAAAAAACTAAAATATAAACTACATCAGTATCATCAATATACTAAATATACTCTCCAATAAGCTGAGCTACTAACAGTAAGTCATACATTACAATTCTATGTCGCAAAAAATATAATATGCCTCCAGTTAAACTTTTTTCTCTTACATCACACGGGTCTACCCCGTACTATATACTGCCATAGACAAACCCAACATTAAATTATATACTGCATTGCTATACACCAATGTTATGCATTACTATACACCAAAGTTACGTCACATGGCCTTTAACGTAATATTTTGTTGTCCAAAGGTCGACATGGAAGGGAATGAAGACCAGGATCAGTGGATGATATGAAAGCATCCTCCGACATATGGAGTCAGTGCATTGTGCTGCACTGCTCCGGGTCCTCTGGGTCAAATTGATAGTTTCTCAATCTCTGGTAACCTCTTACGCCACATGTCCACTTCCTAATACTACTGGCCAAGCCGTTACCTGGGGAGTAGATGTAACTTATGGGTTAGCGTGGTGATGTAAGCCTGTGTTTTTTTCCAGTGGCTTGCCATGCAACAGTGCGTGATGAGTGAAGCTCTTTATCATGTGTCGATTACTGCTACGTCTCCATGAAATTTTATCTTTGTGCAATGAGTGGACTGTGACAAGAGTAAAAGAGGTCAAGAGCTTTTTTGTTATCTCTGGAAAAAATGTCACCCTTCAGAACTGTGCAATTCACAATAGAAAAAATATGAACAAGTGTGTGAATCAGCCAAGTATTGTCCCAAAAATGTTTCTTTGCAAAAGTGAATATATTGCCCAGAGGGATTACAAGTTTTAATAACGCTGATAACAGTTCATATATTTATTTGTATTTTGTATTACAGTATGTTACACACATACGTGGTATTTTGTTGAGCCCGTTTGATATGTAAACTATAAATAAATGTTATTTTATTGCAATGTAAGAGTTTACACATTTTCTGTGCATATTACCAACACTATACCACTCAAGTGGAGACGAATTTCTCTCCAAACTGTTTACAGCACAATTATAGTAGACATTGACCAACACTTCGAGCACTGGGAAAATGGATCATCAAACACATTTGATTTTCTAAATAAAGACCATTCAGTGGCAACAATGGCACAAATTGCCTCAATGCCAAAGTGCTGGTACATGCTTTGTGCATTACCAACAATGAACTGTTAATATCTAAGTACATTAATACTGAGTGTCAGTCGTAGATTTGTATGAAGCAATGAAAAAAAGGGGTCATGAAATAATTTATGAGCACACAAAAGACAACGCCAAATGGAGAGCGGTAGTGTGGATGAATTCACACACAACGTGATTTATTTGTGTTGGTGTTCTTTTTGATTGGCCCTGATAATCACAATGAGCATTCTAAACTCCACATTCAAATGTTCCCACTACATGGCACATTGGAAAACAGCCACATGAGCAATACAAAATGGCTGTCTAATTAATTGGTGCACACAGCAAATTAACTGATTATACGTTTTAATTGGTCTGCATTGATGTAATTGAATCATTGTAGTCTATTAGTACAATAATACATTACATTTTGGTTACCGCTGCTGTTGATTTACAGGCTATTGAATGAGAGAAAAGCAATGCATTTTGGCTGAGAACAGCCCGAGAGCTGTGATTCACTAAGCGTGATCCCTGAACCACCAGTGAGTCGTCTCCGATGGCCTCCATGTGGCCCACAGGCTGTGATGCAAATGCAGGCTGGTCTAAGAATTGATGACAATATTTTACTTATATTCTTTGGGTCTTTTGGTAAAGCCACGTAGATAGAAAAAATGATCTAAAAATAATACCACAACGTTTCGATCGCAACACAAGCAATCATCTTCAGGTAAAAAAAAAGGAAAATCTGCCGAGGCAGGCTGTTTATAGAGGTTTAGAGATGGACGGGGCAGCTAATGTTAATGTGGGAGAGGTACTTAAACGGAGCTGTGGGGGGGTGGCCATTGTATTGAGAGATTAGCATGTCGACATAAGTAATTTGAAGCTCGGCGAGAGCTCGGACAGCGCAGTGGCCACATGGAGGTGGAAAAGAATGGCAAGCCGCCATTTACTAACACAGCTAACGGTGGCTGTGTTACATTGACATGCTAATCTCTCACAATACAATGGCCACCCCCTAGCTGCCCCGCCCATCTCTAAACCATTTGTAAACAGCTCTTTGATTGGTGTAGACCTCCTGCAGGTTACGGAGACCTCTCCTACATTAACAGCTGCTCTGCCCATCTCTAAAACTCTATAAACAGCCTGCCTCGGCAGATTTCCTCCTCTTTTTAAATCCTTTATATTAAGTTCGCATGCTTGCTTGCGTGCTTTCTTGCTTGCTTGCGTGCTTGCGTGCTTGCTTACGACCGTGCAAATCATTCGGTCGTTTTTTAACCCACTTCCCGTGATCCAATCGAGCTGACATTTTCCACACAGACTCGTTGTGCCAGACAATTAATGTTCGTGAAAAAAAATTCCCAAAATTTTACACTTTTTAGGCAAAAAAAAAATATTTTACATATATTCAAAAGAACTCATTCTTGGCTTTGGCTGAACGTCACAGTATAAGAGCCCAGAGCGTAACCCCTCCACAGGCCGTGGCGGAGTAGCGCAGTTGGTAGCGCCCTCGCTTCCCATGCCAAAGGTCGCGGGATCGATCCCTGCGTCCTCCACAGGCGAATATATTTTAAAATCCTTTATATTAAGTTCGCTGCCACGCATATACAGGATTTATAGTGAAAAACTTTGTTTTTACGGGTTATACTTATTTCACCTGAAGACGATTGCTTATGTTGCGATCGAAACGTCGTGATATTATTTTGATAATTTTTTTTCTATCTACGGGGCTTTACCGAAAGACCCAGAGAATATGAATTCCTGCAGTCACGAAAGCTTTAAGTCAAAATTTTACTTATTTAAGTTAGGTAAGCTACCATGATTAAACTACTCTAAGTTTTAAATGCCCCCCCCCCCCCCCCCCACTAAAAAACCTGTATAACTGTGTTAAACATATTTTTTTATGTTCCGGTGATATGAATAATTTTGTATTACTGGTATTTTAAGACAGAAGTGATTGCGTTTTGTCACCAGGGGTGAGGGGGGCTGGGTGGTCCACAGAAATGTTTGCATTGGCTGAGTGGTCCGCGGGCCAAAAACGTTTGAGAAACACAGCCTTACAGGGATAAAATAAGTCCATTTGTTCTCGGGCAATTATAGGTTGTTGACTGCTCATAGTTGGTCTTCCTTCAGAGCAACACAACAATACTAATATGAAACATTCTGAAAACTCAAGGAGCTGGTTATTGCAAATATATTTTTATATTGGAGGTTTTTTAAAGCCATCTCTGGCTTCCCAAGACATTAATCCCCAAGGCTTGCCTGACATGTAGGAATGAAAACCACCTGTTACTTTTAAATTACAGACAGCACTTAGGGGTAAAGATTACACTAATTACTCGTATTACAGCTCTCGCAATACTAGCTGGTGGGCACCTTCGTCACTCTTTTAAACAGGTTTAAATATAAATTCTGATGGCCTCGGTTTGGCTCTTAAGTCAACCTCTTCAAATAGTATTAGCCAGCCAGCCTAGCCTGAGGCAGATTGACAAGCGGTACAGCACCTGCTCTGATGGCTGCAATTTGCTGCATTAAAGCTGTAAATGCATGCAGCGCTGCACGTTCACCAAGCGCCGCGGGTTCACTCAAGGGAGCAGGTAAGATGAACCCTCCTCTGGGCGCACACTGTGGGATCGACCATCGACGGCAGCTCAACATAGGCGACGACGTGAGACCTCGCAGCGCTGCCTCGGCACGGCGAGAGCACGTGCAGAGGGCAGCCGTAGACCGGGAAGAGACGAGCCGTGGCCGCTTCCCCGCTGCAAGCAGTTCCCTTCCTCCCGAGTGAACCTGCGCTTCTGGAGGTCGTCCTCTCCATCGGCCGTTGGTTATTCTGGAACCTGCCTTCCATCCTTTGCCTGTGGCATTTGGTTGACTGTGCGCGCCTTCCCTCCGGCAGTTCACTGCTCGTGTCGGAGGCTGTGGCCGTCGTCGCGTGCAGTGTACCCGCCCAGGGGTCTTGATGGTGGCGCGATTCTCGGGTCCCATCCGACCAGACCTTAACGATCAGTGCGTCTACCTCCGCCCTTGTTTTCCACGCTGCTCCTACTGTCCAGCTGCCACCACTGCTGTTGCTTTTCGCTTGTATGAGCGTGGCGCAGCGTAGCCATACAAGGGGCATGGCACAGGGTTGTGCGGAAACGGTCTCTTGAAGCGCACCAAGTCGTGTATCCCACAGAGCGTTGTGCAGGTGCAGCCCCGTCAGGTAAACTCCTTCTGCAGGGGCAGCGTCTGGTGCAACAAACCCACTCAGAACCTGTACCGAACAGGAAAAACAAATCGCATCAATTATCAACAAAGGGACTACATCAAGTGGTGCACAAATGAAAGAAAACAAAGCGATTATTCATTATCGCTGCCTTATAGCTAAAGTAATGGCAAATGACCCTCCTGCAGAGCACAAGGGAAGGACCACATCCAGTGTTGGCCTCACAGGTAAAAGACTTAATGATAAATGTGTTGAGGTCTTTAAATTGATTATCAGGCCTATGCATTCAAGAAACATTTGTTAGAATGTAAGTGCAGTATCTAAAATAATCGTAATTTATGAAAAGTACTGGCATATTGCATTGTGACCTTGGTAGACACTTCATTATTGGCCCACAGGCCTGGCTTCTGTTCAGGAGATAAAATAAAGCAATGCTGTGGTCCATTTGTGTATAGATTGTTAACAATTGGGTTAACCACCTGTTTTGATGCACTGTGATGCAAAGTATAGGGAATGTCTAAAAAAGCAGATACGGTTTAATGGGCAACACTGGGGCAGCTTAACACTCAGATGATGCACACATCCCATAGTACAAATAATAAGTTAAAATTTTTGTACATATTAAGGATAATGCATTAAGTCAGCTGAGGTACACCACTGAGAACTTGGGTGTTTTTTATCCCAAAAAATTGTATCCTCACGTCATGAACGAAAATACAGGTACAACTGCATAGCACTTACCAGTAAATTGAATTAAAATAAACTTCAACAATAAACGTCAATAACACATCAGAGAAAGGGGAGACAGAGCTATTTTTAAATCCTTTATATTAAGTTCGCGTGCTTGCTTGCTTGCGTGCTTGCTTGCTTAGGACCGTGCAAATCTTTCGGTCGTTTTTTAACCCACTTCCCGTGATCCAAGCGAGCTGACATTTTCCACACAGACTCATTGTGCCAGACAATTATTGTTCGTGAAAAAAAATTCCCAAAATTTTACACTTTTTAGGCAAAAAAAATTTATTTTACATATATTCAAATAGAACGCATTCATGGCTTTGGCTGAACGTCAGAGTGTAAGAGCCCAGAGCGTAACCCCTCCACAGGCCGTGGCGGAGTAGCGCAGTTGGTAGCGCCCTCGCTTCCCATGCCAAAGGTCGCGGGATCGATCCCCGCGTCCTCCACAGGCGAATATATTTTTAAATCCTTTATATTAAGTTCGCTTGCTTGCTTAGGACCGTGCAAATCTTTCGCTCGTTTTTTAACCCACTTCCCGTGATCCAATCGAGCTGACATTTTCCACACAGACTCGTTGTGTGTGACAATTAATTTTCGTGAAAAAAAATCCAAAATTTTACACTGTTTAGGGAAAACAAATTAAATATTTAATTACCAATTGCTTAATGGTGGCAGACAATCATCTGACCCATAGGTGGCAGCCATCTCAAGCCAGAGGACGAGAGGACTCTAGCCGCCACGCATATAAAGGATTTAGAGTGAAAAACTTTGTTTTTACGGGTTAATTTTTTGTTATTTGCGTTTGTGCACGACCAACAATACAGCATCAAAAAAAATCGTACATTATCATTCATTTGGCAAAAA